TGGTCATGTATGGATGTGAGAGTTGGACTGTGAAGAAAGCTGAGCACCTAAAAGTTGATGCCTTTGAATGGTGGTGTTGGAGAAGACTCTTGAGAGTCCCTTGGACTGCAAAGAGATCCGACCAGTCCATCCTAAAGGAGATCAGTCCTGGGGGTTCATTGGAAGGACTGATGCTGAAGCTGAAACTCCAATACTTTGGCCACCACATGCAAAGTGTTGACTCAGTGGAAAAGACCCTGATGTTGGGAGGGATTGGGGGCAGGAGGAGAAGGGGGCGACAGAAGATAAGATGGCTGGATGGCATCACCGACTCGATGGGCATGAATTTGAGTAGACTCCAGGAGTTGGTGATGGACAGGGAGGCCTGGCGTGCTGCAGTTCATGGGGTCGCACAGAGTCAGACACAACTGAGGGACTGAACTGATGCTATTAGTAGCAAGCAGTATTAGTAAAATAGCATAAACTTTTTAATCAATGAGACTTTTCACATTGTCCAAAATATTCTTATATATTTCTATTAAAAAAATTAAAATTCTTCCTCAGTATGACAGAAATTAAGAGGTTGACTTACCAATCTTATACTTAAGAGGTTTTCCTGAAGCTGTTCAGTTTCCCCCGCTTGCTTTTTGACTGTCGTTTGTAACTCGGCATTTTCAATTTCAAGCCTAAAAATGCAGATTTTAAAACAATGATTCTCACACATAGGGTTTCTTGTTTAAAGATGTTTTTGAATGTGGACCATTTTTAAAGCCTTTATTGATTTACTGCAATATTGCTTCTGTTTAATGTTTTGGTTTTTGGCTGTGAGGCACGTGGGATCTTAGTTTCCCAACCAGGGATCAAACCCACACCCACTGCCTTGGAAGGCATAGTTTTAACCACTGGACTCTCACGGCAGTCCTTCACACACAGATTTTTAAAATACCACACTGTTTCTGAACAAACATCTGCAGGTTCAATTATGTAGACTTTTAGAATTTTGAAAAGTAAATGATTTGACAGCTGTACTGTTTTTCTAGTTGTGTTTTGTGGATAATTGGCTTCCTTGGTGGCTCAGACGGTAAAGGATCTGCCAACAATGCAGGAGACCAAGGTTCGATCCCCGAGTCAGGAAGATCCCCTGGACAAGGAATCAGCAACCCACTCCAGGATTCTTGCCTGGAGAATTCCATGGACAGAAGAGCCTGGTGGGTTATGATCCATGGAGTCATAAAGAGTCGGACATGACTCAGTGACTAACACTTTCACTTTTCACTTGTGGATAATGTGTAAAATATGGAAATAATAGGGGAAAATATGCATCTCAAAACAGCTCAAAGCTGAAATGTTACCCAGCTTCACAATGATGTTTTTATTATCATTACTGATCTAATTCTCATATTATACTGTTTATCTGCTTTATACTTAAGTTGTTTTCTGTGCTGCTTTAAATCATACTTTTGGATGTGATCCTGTGTTTTTTCAGCACATCTCACGGCCTCTGTATGTTGATCCTGTGTTTCTTGAGACTGAAAATAGAAAAAGGAAAAAAACAACTGTTTAATTCCTAATAACCTAGCGAATCTGCCAATGTCAGTTTCTGTCTCTCCCATCTGCATATTGCTTATGGCTGCTTTCCTACTCAGCGGACAATGACCACAGGTTAATATGCACATAGCACCTCCTGGACAGAGTGTGGTGCAGAACTTACATGACCGTCAGAGGAAGAAGGGTGAAGTCACTGCCCTGGAAATATTACCCTACTGCTAAATCAAAGTTCTGAGTCAATTCATTCCCACAGCTGTTAATGTCTAGCAAGCACTCCAGTGAGACAATTCAGGTTACAAGGTACGGATATCAGAGAGGCTCTTCCCAGAACTTTACAGTTGGTAAAAGGCTAGAAATCTGTAAATCCCACTTCTGCCTACATAACGAAGGAAGGCAAATTTACACTTTTCTCCCAGAGTCAGGGAGAAAAATGAGCATTTAATTGAACAATTCTCCTCTATTAGACTAAGCGCTTTCAATTTTACATTGAGTTGCTTAAAATACATTTTAATAAAAGTTTTATTATACAAACATCTTCAAGAAGAAATAACTGGCATGGCATGAAGTACTTAGTTTTGTCCTAACAATTGTTAAGCTAAACTGTTTTCCATTTATGCAAGACAAGTGCTGTGCCTATCAACAAATACTCCCAGTTAGACCAATGTATACCCAGATAAGATTCTCCCTCATGAAAACAATTACAACAATGCAAAATTAAGGGCTAGATTGTTCTTCACAGACTACATGACAGGGCTGAAGAGAAAAGGCTCAATGAGAGCTGGACAGTCAGGAAAGCTCCATGGAGGAGGAGAGACTGGGCACCAGGTCTGAATAAATGGAGGACTACCCAAGAGGAAAAGAAACTGTGAAGACAGAGAGGACAATCTGAGCAAAGGTCAAGGAAAGGTGAAATCAGCCAGTGAACTCTGAGGACAAAATCCAACCACAGGAAAATAAAAATATGTCCATCCAGAAATGCGTAAACCAATGTTCACAGCAGCATTATTAATAGTCGCAAAGTGGGAACAACTGAAATCTCCATCAACTTATGAATGGATAAATATAGCCACGTACTGCTTATTGTTTGACAGTCAACAGAAATGGAATAACTGATATGTGCTATAACATGGAAGAACCGCAAAACGACATCAAATGAGAAACGCTAATCCCAAAGGAGCATACTGCATGATTCCATTTATATAAAACACCCAGAACAGGCATGTCTACAGAGAAAGATATTAGACTGGGCGTTGTCTGGGTCTCAGGGAGATGGGGGGTCATAGGAGGTAGCTAAGGGATGCAGGGCTTCTTTGGGGGTTGTAGAAATGCTCTAAAATTGGCTGTGGTCACAGGTGACACCTATCTAGACTAAGAGATACTGAACTACACACTTGGAATGGGTGAATTATATGATACGTGAATTATATCTCAATAGCTTTTTAAAAAATCCAAAGGCACCATCTAGATAATCTTCTTAATTCTCTATTTTCGATGTAGGTATTATACTCCATCTGAGTACCCCATGCTTTTACAATGTATTGAAAATGAAGAGAAGGCAGTGCCTAACTTCACCTGGTTTGTATAATACAATTTCTGCACAAGTTATTCTGAAATGCACAAAATAAATATATACAGAACTGCACCGCCATTCAGAAAAGTGAAGATGAGAAATGATAATTTTCTGGAACATTCCATTAAACATTATCCTCTGATTTTATCTGGCTTCCCCATCATGGTAATACAGGGATCATGAAATAAAATATTGTTCAATCAAAGAAAAAGTCTCTCCACAGATGTATAGAACAGACTTTTGGACTCTATGGGAGAAGGCAAGTGTGGGATGATCTGAGAGAACAGCGTGGAAACATGTATATTATCAAGTGTGAAACAGATCTCCAGTCCAGGTTGGATGCATGAGACAAGTGCTCGGGGCTGATGCACTGGGATGACCCAGAGGGATGGGATGGAGAGGGAGGTGGGAGGGGGGATCAGGAGGGGGAACACATGTAAATCCATGGATGATTCATGTCAATGTATGAAAAAAACCACTACAGTATTGTAAAGTAATTAGCCTCCAACTAATAAAAATTAAAAAAAAATAAAGAACTCCAAAAATAAAAAAGAAAAAGAAGTCTCTCAAGTTGTGTGAAGAATGATGCACAATTCTCCACTTTCCTAAGAGTATATAATATACGAAAACAATATATATAATGCAAATGGCAGAATGAAAGTCAGAGTTTAAGAAATGAGTGCACTTAAAGATTTAAAAAATTATAGTAAATTACTAGTAATGAAAATAAAAAAGGAAGCTGTCCATGAAAAAGAGTGTCCGAAAACACTTTATCCTATGTATTCACTGTCAACACATTCAGTTTCACACATACCTGACTTGTGAGTTGATGTAAGTTCTTTAAATCCCGTGCCTCAACTTTCTAACTTCGCATGATAACGTGACATGACCTCCAGGGACGCCTCCGACGCAGACTGCTTTTTGAGGCTATCAGCCAGTTCTTGCCAAAGTTGTCTCACAACTGCCTAATAAGATTCTCTGTCACTGAGTTTATCAAATCACTTTATTATGACGTTGTGTTCGTAATACATAAGGCCAACATATGGACTTTGAAAACTATCACCACACACAGCAACTCACCTTCTTTCCCTCCTCCCTGAATGTGGTTGCAGACCCAGAAGGGCCCCCCACCGGCCTTCCTGATATTAAGCTCCTCAGACGAAGGAGGCAGCCCCACTGTCCACGCCCTGCCCCTCCCGATAAATCTGCAGAGCTCCACCACCTCACGTCCAGAATGAAACAGGTGTGTAGGTGGGACAAGCAGTGGAAAATTCCACCCTGTGGAAACATTTTTCCTCTTTCTTTATCAGAGGCTTCGATTAACATCAGAGATCTTCACATATTTAATCCAGTGCTCAGATCTTTCCAACAGATTCCTATCCCAGCAGAAAAATGAGGCCATTCCCTTGGGGCTTATCTATCTGATATCTGGTCGTGTGTCTATGTTAATCCCAGACTCCTAACCTCCCCCTCCTCCCCGCCTCTGCCCTTGGCTCACCACCAGGCCCCACTGCGGAGCACAGGGGGCTCTGCTCAGTGCTCTGTAGTCACCTGCCTGGGAGAGGACCAGGGAGAGAACGGATACGTGTGTAACTGCACCAACGTGCTGTGCACCCGAAACTAACGCAGAAGTATAAACCAACTACACTCCAAAATAAAGGAAAAACACAATTTACAAATGAGGTTGCTCCCATGGCCCTCAAGGAGCCTCGATAGCCTGGCCTCCACCTGCCTCTGGACCACAGCCCCTACAGCCCTCTCCCTGACTCACTCCATTATTGCTGCTCTCAAGTCCTGCCACCCTTCATTTTTATTGGGCAATCTGGTATTCAAATGATAGCAATTGATCCTTCAAATGAGAATTATGAGTAAATGGTTTCTAAACATATTCTAAGTAAATAGAAGTGGGAAGATTAAAACAAGAAGAGCTTGGTTAAAGCCCACCACTTGAGTCCCAAATTATGATTTAATGACAAGTATATTTAAATGACTTGTCAATGAATTCTCAATTTAATGGCAACTCTTTAAATAGTTGAGAGGTCATAAGAATAAATGATTCAAGCCTGAAATGTTTTACAAGTTAATTCAAATTTACATGAACAACATTAAAATTACACCAACAAATATGACAGAAAGGTATGACAAGCTACTGAAGCCAAAGTACTATATATAAGTGATAGCATCTGGGAAACATGGAATTGACTGTCAAGTTAATCCATGTAACTGAAGCTTAATTTCAAAATATTCAGTTTAGGTTTGAGAGTCTCTTTTATCTGCTTCATCATGATAGTGACATGTGGTTATATAGAGATTAAAATTATTTTCTGAATAGTAAAAGAGTAAATTACTAATACCTGTCTATATTAAACATTTAGAATTTAATCTCTTAACATTTCATAAGCGACACGATGTCTCTACTCAAAGTGAAGCATCTCTCGGGTCTAATTTTTATTTGCTGGATACAAGGTGTGCTTTTTAGTCTGTTTTAGAGACCATAGATTCATAGCCTGTGTATTTTTTATATTCAGCTAGATTCAACGTTTAGCCAGAATTAAGAATCACTTTGAATTTCTTTCAGGAAGTCTGAGCATTATTTCTCCTTCTGGATACTTACTTTTCTTTCTGCTTTCTCATTTTCATACTGACATATTCTCTCTACTAAATGACTACATTTGTTGATTAAATCCTTGTTTCTTTCCTCCAGCATCAGACCTTGTTTCTCATGTTCAGCACGAAGATTTTTCATGATCTGCTGAAACTGGTCTTGGATGCTAATGACTGTCTTCTCTTTACTGTCGGCTCTATTTTGTGCATTATCCAGCTGCTGTCGGAGCAACATGTTTTCACTCTGGAGTTGAGATAACCTCTCCTCTAAGGATTCCTGCTTTCCAAGATATTCCTTCACTTTGCCTTGTTCAATCTGATACATGTGTCCAATATCCTGCTTTTGATGCTCTGCTTGGAGTAAGTCTCTCTGGACAGGTTCTAACATCAAAGTCTTTTCTCCGAGATCATCTCTCGTCTGATGCAGCTTGACTTTTAGCTTATTGAATTGATTTTCCACTTTAGAAAGTCCCTGGAAAAGCATCTCACTGTCACTTTTCAGCTTAGCCATATCGAACTTCATTGGGTCCTGCAAGCGTAACGTCTTGTCTTTTGCTTTCTGGGAGGCAAGTGACAGGTTTCTTTGTGATATCTGACCTTGATCACGATTGTGTATGGCAGCAGCCAGTCTAGAGTGGTAGGATTCCACTTCTGTTTCCAGTCTTTCTTTGCTTCGCTTTGCGTTCTCCAGCTCAGGGTTTAGCATTGTATTTTCAGCTACCGGAATGTTAAGCTGGCCAGTATGCTGGAATATGGCCTTTGTCAACATTTCCTTGTTCAATTTTATTGCCTTTTGAGGATAATCGTTCTCTCCTTTTACAATTTCAGTATCCTCAAAACATTTCTTTTCTTTCTCCTGGTTCTGATTTTTCACTGTGTCTATTTCTAATCTTGGCATGGCAATTTCATCCTGCATGTGGCTTTTGCGCAACAGACCTTTTGCCTTTCTACCACTATCAGAAACCTAAGTGAGACAAAGGAGACTTTGAGTTAGTACTCACTAAAATGACATTTCACCATTTCCTCTGAAATGAAAGACTCACCTGTATGTTTATACAATGAAAAGACTGCACCAAGTGGATCTCCAAATGGAAAAAATAAGGTTCTATACTAACCTCAGACCTTATACAAGCAGAAATTCCCAAAGGTTCAAACATTTAATTGAAGACAATGAATCCATGAAAGGACAGAGAAAGCCCAAGAGACTTTTCAAGAAGCTCAGAACTGGAAAGGGTTTCTCTGAATTACAACATACCCAGAAAGCTTAAAATGAAAGATTTATAGATCTAACTACACTTAAAAATTGCATCTGATGTGGTATATTTATATAATGGAAAACTACAAAGCCATAAAAAGAAGGAAATAATGCTATTTGCAGCAACGAAGATGGACCTAGGCATGATCACACTAAGCGACGTAAGTCAGACAAAGACAAGTCATACTGTTTATACGTGCAATCTAAAATGAACTTATTCACAAACCAGAAAGAGATCCACTGACATAGGAAACAAACTTACTCACCATACAGGAAAGGGGGTAGGGGAAGGGATAAATTAGGAGGTTGGGTTTAACATATACCATTATATATAGACAAGTGTATATAAAATAACCAGTAGGGATCTACTGTACAACATAAGGAATTACATTTAATATTCTCCAAGAAGAATCTGACAAGGAATATGTGTGTGTGTTTGTGTGTGTGTTAGTCAGTCATGTCCAACTCTTTATGACCCCACAGACTGAGCCCGCCAGGCTCCCCTGTCCATGGGATTCTCCAAGCAAGAATACTGGAGTGGGTTGCCATTTCCTCCTCCAGGGGATCTTCCCGACCCAAGGATTGAACCCAGGTCTCCTGCATTGCAGGGGGATTCTTTACAGTCTGAGCCAGCAGGGAAGCCCCATTTACATAATATACACACGCATATACATATATGTCTGAATCACTGTGCTGTACACCTGAAACTGACACAATATTGTAAATCAACTACAATCCCATAACACCACAACTCGCTACCTTTAAAACTGCATCTGATAGCTCCTACACAGCTACTTCAAGTAAGAGCCTTAGCTCTGTACATATTTAAATAGATGAAATTTCATGCAAAAATTGTTTTCTTGAGAATATGCTACCTTTCTAACATTTTAATAGGCAATTACAAGGCTTATACCTATTGACAACTGGACTAAGCACTTCTACAAATATCAATCACCTCATTAGCGATAATGATTCTGGAAAGGAAGAAGTTAAAACTATGTAAGTAAGCTGCAGGCTTTTCACCAGGTCTTCTGACTCTACTAGTCCTCTTACATCAAACCACAGTCACTTCTCTAGTCCAAACACATCAATACAAAATACTCGTCCTATTTCATTCATGGTATATACACTAATGGTGAATAAGGTAAAATTTAGAGAGCTCTTCTTAGAGAATCATGAGATTGTTTTCTGCTGCAGGAACTTTCATTATATCTTCATACTGTTTGAAACAGTAAGATGGGGGAATACAATGAGAAACATAATTATCACTAGATGTATACTATGGCATATCTATCACTGTTTTCAAAAGTTCCTTGTACTGAAGGAGGACACTACACAGGATGAGGGTTCGTTTTCTCAGAAGTACAAGAATGACTTCCAAAGCATGGTCTCTGAACTGCCTCTACTTTTCCTCCTTACCTTCAGTGGAAGTGATAAATTAACCTAATGATCAAGGAAAGGAAATCACTACTAAACACCAGAATAGCTGTTGTTAGTAGCAAGAGTTTTTGTTTTTTTTTTTTTTTACTTTTTTTTCCTTGGTGGGAGGGGGACTTTTATAAGTTTATTCCAAAGAAACATTTTTTTAAAGTGTACAAAAGTATATTTACAACTGATGCTGCAGCTTTTACAAACTGAAAAACTGAAAACGATTTTAAAAAACCGTTGACAGAGCACTGGTTACAGAAACGAGAGTGGAACCAGGGGCGGACTCTGACTGAGACACCGGAGATGATGCAGGTGAGGAGGGACGCACACACTCCCCGCAGAGCACAAGGGCATGGTGTGCAGCGCAGTCGACGGGGGAGCATACGCGGTCTGCCTGGCCTAAGCAGCAGTCAGGGTCCCGGCTCCTTCGAGACAGCCGCAAAAATTTTGAGATTAATTCCTATGGAAAATATTAAAGGCCTCTCCTTGGATGAGGCCATGGTGTGTCCCTACCTGACTGCTGTAGACAAATGGACTTGAATTACAAATACTACTTTCCCCAGCTCTTCCCGAGAGCTTTTCGTTGTGGGAGATCTGCTGCTAGGACCTGGGGGATGAGACCTGGCCCGTGTTTGAGAGGGACATTGGGTGGGGGAGTGAGTTCCTCTGCTCTGAGATGCCACTCGAGAGCTCTGCAGAAAGAAGGACAATCAACTTCAAGAGTGTCTGGTATCTACCAACTGCTGGAAAAAATCCACGGGGAGCATTCCTGCATCTCGCGATGATGCCTGTTAAACACACCTGTCCTTGAGGACTCTACTGTGAGGGAGAACCCAGCTGGGAAAGCTGGAGCCAGCTCTGAGCTGTTCACGGGGCAGGTGGACTGAGGGCTGACGGGCACAGAGGGAGGGCGTCCACGACCCTCAGCCCCCTGCCAGATGGCAATGGGGAAGTTTTAGAGTAAAGCATGTCGCCATCCTCGGATGACTGAGTTAAGTCATCAAGGTCATTCACGTAATCAATTTGGTCTTTGACCTACACATAAATAATACTGTTTCACAATGTCCTTAAAATATGTATAAAATATACCAAGTGTACAAAGGTGATAAATATCTTAATCAAAGAAAAAGAAGAGGCTTCTTAAAAGAACAGGTTTTTATCAACAGGATAACTTTATCAACAGAGTTTCTAAATTATGTTTTCAAATTAAATGTCTTCAACAAAGGAAGATTTTCTATGTTGCCACTATCCCTTTTACAAACTATTTTATAGAAGATGATATATTTTAAAGTTAATTTTTTTTTTTTTTACTTTACCTTCTTCTTTTCATATGCTGTTTTCCTTGCAGGCCTAAAAAAAAAAAAATGATTCTTTTCAGGCTAAAATTTGATAACTAAAAAATATAAACAATACTTAAATGTTTGATTTTTATATAACATCTTTGCATTCATAAGTAATTTTTATAAAAGGATGAAACAATAAAAAAGAGTTGCATTGAAGGACAAAGAAAATATATCTATAATAGTAATGAAACATTAAATTTAGATTAATGGAAAAGGAAAAACCTAACATTACTTGCGTTATGTGACAGAAGCAGTTTACCAGGGCTTTATGCAGTTGTCCTTTTTAATAAGAACTAACTTTTATGGCAATAAAACCTATCTCCGAAGTATTCCCTAAGTCCTTATAAAAAAGAAACCCATTTTTTTTATCACCAGGATATTAGCTTTTTGAGGGCTTATTATGCAATGGCTATGCATATTATGCATTTTAATGCTCACGATCATTCTGGGAGAGAGGTAATATATTAGATCCTTTATATAGGAAGAGATGGAGCAAAGAAAGGCTGAGGAACATGCCTAGGACCACACAGCAGTTCACCAACAGCCCAGAATTCACACCCAGGAAATCTGGCCTGAATGCTGCTGTTCCAAAATATGCTGAGAAAGTGATATTGAAAAGTCTTTTTAAGTAATATAATACCAAGTGAATCTATATTATTATTTCATGTCTAGCTATAACTACAGATGATAATTCTGAATCTTAAAATACTTCTAAGAAACAAAAAGACTAGATGTAGGCAATATTGGAAATCTACTTTCAATAAAGATTTGTTTTTGTAAAGAAATTCATCAATTCACATTCGTGCAGCCATTCTGCTGTTTCTTTATGCATCTGACATACACTTATGGAGCACATAATATGTGTTAACGACACTTTAGTACAGGAAGCATGGCTTTTGTCATTTAGATCTTTATCATCCAAAGTAATAAACTGTAAAAGATTGTGAACACTGTTTCTATTGAAAATAAACAAAATCCTCCCCTTTTCCCTGCAAGCTATAAACAGCTATGAAGTTAATATGATGTGATGCTTCAGAGTACCTTACAATATCATAGCTACCCACGATGATACTATCAACTAGAATCAACAAGAAATGATTAAATCCTATTCAGTATAACCTAAGTATTTGTAAATTCATGATTATATAATTTTTTAAAATCTATGTATAATAGAATTAACTTAAGTAGTCATCTACATATTCATTGACATAAGAATATTACACTTCAGAGCCAATGAGCAAGCCCTTACCAAGAACTACATATGAACAGAAGTACATAAGTACATAATGATCATGCACAATAATAATGTACAATTAATTTATTGTAATAGTTTAAAGATAATGTCATACAATCAATAAGCTTTCTAATATTGGAAATGCAGATAAGACTAAACTCAATAGACACTTCCTCCGCTGGCTCATTTCCAACAGCATACATATCTACAAGCTCCTCTCTGAACATGAAACAAGAAACTCCTTTCAACTCCACATTCCTCTTCAGTTACCATCCAGGCCTCCATTCCTGGCCCAGGATATATTCCCTACGGAGCTGTTTACTTGTGTTCACTGCAGTCCAGCTTCCAAGTGGACTATTTACTGAAACGACTTCCGGCCAAAGGCTCGGATCCTCTCCTTCACCTTTCTGCCATGTTCATCCAGCAGAGTTGAGCATTCTCTTCTCTTGGCCTGTATGCTATATTATGCTGCTCTATTTCCAGAAGAAGTATTCAGGGCTAATATTTCTTCCCCTAGAAATAAAGAATTTGTCCACGTTACCTGCTGTCATCTTGATCCACTTTCCTTAAAATGCTGTCATCCTTCACGTGCAGCAGACCATCAGTCACTGAATTGGTCTTTTCAAATACTGGTACAATCACACATTCTTCTGGTGTCCATTTGTCATTTTTCTTTTTCTCTATCTCCTTCCTGGGCATGCCAGGATCGCTACTTTTAAAAAATCCACAAAAAAAGCCAATGTTTTCAAATAATTCGACTAATAAAGAATAAAAAGACAATTCTTGCAAAATTCCAACTCTTACCCATCTTAAATCATTGATTAGTTCACAAAACAGTTATGAAGTATCAACCATAAGCAAGAAAACAAATTCTTCCTTCAAACACAGACACACAATTATGATACAATATGATATGTAAGAGTTGGCATATGAAAGTGATAAGTGAAATAAGGAAGGCTTTATGGAAGAAGTGAAGAGAGGAGATCAAAAGGAAGAGAAAAGCAAGAAATCATTCTACTGGGAGATTAGAATGTGAGTACACAGGTCAGGCACATGGCATCTGGGGTTGTTTCCTAGAAACCTGGAAGGAAAAGTACAAAACACATGAAAGAAAGTAGAGAGATGCATCTGGAAAGACATTGGGAAGAACCTCAAGGGCTACACTGAAAACCTCGAGCCCACTGGCTAAGCACAATGATTCCTAGACATGGGAGTCATGATTAGATTTACACTATATATAATTCTTTGCTTTTAAAAACAGTAATGTTTGATCTAGGAATTTCCCTGGTACTCCAGTGCTTAGGAATCTGCCTGCTCGTGCAGGGGGCACAGGTTCGATCCATGGTCAGGGAAGACAGCACATGCCTCACGGAGAGCAATGAATCCTGTGCTCCACAACCACTGAAGCCAGCACCCTAGAGCCCACGCTCAGCATCAAGAGAAGCCACCACAGTGAGAAGCCCAAGCACTGCGGCTGCAAAGAACCAGCACAGCCGAAGAAATTACAAAAAAAAAAAAAAAAAAAAAAAAAAAAAAAAAAAACACCTCAAAGAAAAAAGTAACACTTAATTTAGATGGTTTTTAAAATGACATGTGGCACATCCACTGTGAAAGAAGAAATTAAATTTAGCGGGGCAGGGGGCAGTTGACTTGTAAACCGCCCACATGATGGGGTGACATCAGTATCATGGATGAAAGGCAGGTGCCTCATCAGTTCTGCTGCCACCAACAGCAATTTGGCCTCCATCCACGGACATACTCAAAGTGCTAGGAGGAGAAAACTGCCAACCAAGAGGACTCGATCCAGAAAAGTTGTCTTTAAGAAATGAAGGAGAAACAAAAACTTTCCCAGACAAAGCAAACCTGAGGGAGTTCATCACCACTAGTCTCGCCTCATAAGAAATGCTGAAAGAAGTCCTCAAACTGAAATGAAAGGATGCTCATTAGTGACATAAAATAAATTTAAATATACAACATACTGGTTAAGGCAAGTATGCAGTTAAGTCCAGAATACTCTAATATGTAACATGGTGGTAGGTTAACAAAGTAACTAGTATTAAGGCTAAAGGATAAGAGTATTCAAAATAACTATAACCCTAGTAAAATATAAAATTCGTAAATCACAAACATTAGCTCAATTTAGAAATAATTTTACCGGAAAATAACAAATGGCCTACTGTTAAATATTGATATAGGCTTACCCATCAGAACCTTTATTCTCCATAGCAGGAAACTCCTGTTTGTTATTTCCTCCACTCTTTCTCTGCTGAATCAATTGACTCTCATCAGCAGCATCGCATACGTGGTCTGATACTTCCACTTCTCTACTTTTGTGCTTCTTTTCTTCTTCAACCTTTAGTGAAAGTTTGACACTAAGAATAATTGCTATTACTTAATTCTAAAGACTCTGTTTTCAATTTATTATTTGACTCAGCATTTGCCCGGATTTTAAGTGATAAAAATATTTTTGTGCTTACATTAATTTTATCACAAGTCACTGAAAGTGTTGTAAAATGTGCTTCTTTCTCTTTGAGGGAAAGAAACAAAATTCCCAAAATTTCAAGAAAGGCTTTCTTAATAAGATACAATTATTCCCATCCAGTCTTCCCCAACTGACTGGCAGAGATAGAGAAATAAAAACACATCACATATGTCCTCTTCAGTCTTTACCACCTGGATTTTCCATTGAACAGTCAGATGTAGAGGATGTGACACCTTAGTGCCTCAGAAACAGAAAAGAAGCTTTCTTCTTTCTGCACTAAAGCTATTCTTTCCCCACTGCCTTTTCCAATTCTTTTTTCATTTGGGTCCAGGAGATAGCAAAAAACCTGATGGTGTTCACTGAAATATATGACCCAAAGTTTACCAAAACACAAGGAGCAGGATGAAACTGAGGAGGTGTTAGTTAGTGTGGAATTCTGGAATATAAGGAATGCGTCCCAATTCCACATTCAATAACCATCCAATTTTATAGTTAGAGTGTATAAAAATACCTATCTATCTTTGCCCCACTATTTACCAATAACAGCTTTAAAATCAAAAACGTTAAATGAGTTGTTCAAAGCCCCTAAAGTGGCATTCCCTAACATTTTATGGCACCAAAAGAGATGATACAATTCTGTCATCTTGAATCTGATAAAATTACCAAATGAATTCCTCAAATGGATCAGGTAAGTTCAAACCGTGACTTTGGCAAAGTAATTTAATTCATTAATTGGGGGAAGGGTTCATTCTCCTTTTTCTTTAATGGAGAAGAGCTACATTTTTCGTCTTACACAGAAGAGCAAGCACGTTTAAAAACGTACTACTGAAGAAAGAACAATCTCACAGCATCTCAAATCTCAGTTTTTCCTTTGGCGATAAACACTTGATTTTTTTCTCTCTCTCTTTTTTTTTTTTTTTTTTTGCTGAGAGTTTATACTATCTACGGGCTTCCCTGGTGGCTCAGAGGTTAAAGAATCTGCTTTCAAGGCAGGAGACCTGGCTTCAATCCCTGGGTTGGGAAGATCCCGTGGAGAAGGGAACGGCTATCCACTCCAATGATATTCTGGCCTGGAGAAATCCGTGGACAGGGCAGCCTGGCCAGCTACAGTCCATGGGGTCACAAAGAGTCAGACACGACTGACCAACTCTCACACATGCACATACTACCTATGTGGCAAAATCACACATGTCAAAACTTACTACATTTTAGTAAACAACATTGTGAAGCAGTCTCTCTCAAAAGAGACATCTGAGAGTGGTGATTAAAGCATAGGTGGGAGTGCATGTATTTGTTATTAAAAACATCCTGAGGTGGCCATGTTGGAAATCTAAGTGCCCAGGGACTGGGGAAAGCAGAGAAGATCACACATATTCAATCACAATGAAGAGATTAGAGGGAACACATGTTCATATCCGCTCTCTGTTTCTGCTTTCTTCCCATTCTGTGGAAATACAACTTACATTTTAGCCAACAGAGTGAAAAAAAAACAACAAATGCAAAACCTTAGTTGATCATACTCCTTAAACACTTTCCTTGGTGCTTATTCTGGCTCAGAAGGTCACATGGTATGGAGCTAAATGAGTTTCCCAGTCCATAGGAAAGACTGACAGAGACAGCATTAGACTGATTGAAGGACGAAAGCTATGAATAGTTTCCTGAATTCCTCTTATTTGAATGGCAGAAATAATCTATTTCTACACAATTACCTATTTAGATGACCCCACTTTATTCATAAGTAGAAAATCAAAATGGACCAGATCATCCAGAAAGGGAAAAACCAAAGCAAGAGCAAATGAACCTCTACCTCTTTTGGAAGCTGAATTTTCTCTTTTTCCAAAGCCAGCAACTCTACTTGTAACATGTCTATTTCATTCTTAAACCTCTGCATATCCTTCTGTCATTCTTCACTTAGATACACTTTGGATGCTCTGTGACTATTTGGTGGAGAATTCCCATTTTTCAAATTCGGGTTCCACACTTTCATCATCACTAGCACGGCAATTACCTGCATGCAATAGCTTCTGGAACCAGTCCTGTATTGGTTTGCTTTTCTTATCAGTATTTTTCATGACAGCAGGAGTACCGTGACTTTGTATTTGAATTATGTGTTTCATCTTACCGGAGCAGACAAGCCACAGACTAGACTGGCGTGTCTGTCCAATGTCTAATCTCCGATTCATGGGATTTTGCCTCATATTGTCTGAGATTTGCATATCAAACTCTTGGTCATCTTTCACTTCAAATGTAACTACCTGGTCCCATACTTTTTTATTTTCTGCATCATTATAAAAACTCTCCTCATTTTTGATAAACACATGTTCAATATCTAGTTTATCACTTTCAAGGTCTATTTTATTTTCACTAAAACAAAGCTTGGAAGATGACTGACAACCGTATCCTGTGGACCCATAGTTCATGCGACCAAAAACTATTTTCAAGACTGGGTTCTTTTTGTTCAGGACATACTTGGAATACTAGAGAGACAGATACTCCAAATGCATCTTTCTCCCCACAATCAGGTATATTATTTGTCATGTTAGGAGGTATTTCCTTTCTGTTTGCTCCTTCTTTAAGGTGATCATATAGTGGCTCCTCCTTAGGACAGATGATAATTTTGTATTTCTCACAAACTTCACCTAACTTCTGCTTTAAGTCATTTGTGATGGTTTTAACTTCTCTTTCTCTTTTAATTTGCCTTGTTTGATCCACATTTTCTCATACTTCTCCACACAAGGAGGCCTTGAACATACAGATCTGTCCTGTCTACCACATTCCTTATTCATTTCTGGTTCTTGAGGCAATTTTTGCAGCTGCAAAAGTGGAAGATTAATTGGGTTGATTTGATTTTCAGGAGTCTTTTCTGTCAGGGTACATGTGTGCAAAATAATAGAATCTTTAAGTAATCCAGTATGGATAAATAAAAATCAGAAAATCATTAAAATTTCACTGTTAAACTTCTTAATTTATATGTAACTACTCACAAATCACCAGATTACAACTAAGAAGTGAAAAATAACTTGCCTTACTGGAAAATAGGAGAAAAACATTGACTCACAAACCCAATTTTGTCACTGCTTGACTGAATTAAACAATTCATACATGTTAAATCTACCAAAAATGAATTAGATGATTTTTAATGTTATAAATGCTTCTTCCCTTAAAAATAGTTCACCTCACGATACCGTATATGCAGAGTCCCTACAGCATGTCTGTTAAGGTTTTTGGTTTTCTTTTTTAAGGACTAATATCTGGAGAACAGACAAACTTTATATGACCAGGAGCCAAAGTCAATGAACACTAATCAGAAAGAGGAACCAATTCCTAAATTTTCATGTAAATTATATATTATGATAGTGCTATACATCAATACATATTGCCTGCTTACATTCAGTTATGTGTGTGCTAAGTCATGTCTGCCTCATTGCGACCCCAAGGACTGTAGTCCACCAGGCTCCTCTGTCCATGGGGATTCTCCAAGCAAGAAGACTTCAGTGGGTTGCCACACCCTCCTCAACCCATGCCTTCCCAACCCAGGGATCGAACCCAGGTCTCCCACATTGTAGGTAGATTCTTGACTGTCTGAGCCGCCAGGGAAGCCCGACAATACTAGAGTGGGTACCCTATCCCTTGTCCAGGGAAATTTCTCGACCCAGGAATTGAAACGGGGTCTCCTGCACTGCAGGCAGATTCTTTACCAGATGAGCTACCCGGGAAGCCCCGACATTCAGTTATATTATGTTCTAATATCCGCCAAAGAAAGTGGATAAAGCATTTTTAGTAATATCTACTGATTTCCCACCCTGAAATATTAGAACGTTATTATTTGTACCCTAAAAACAAAGATCCAATCTAGAAGTTTCGATTCTCTTAATAGGCAACTGGGTTGATTCTATGACCCCACTCTCTCCCTGAATGTTCATCCCTAAGTCAATTATGCCGAGATCACAGGCAGAATGAATCTTGCATCTTGACGCCAGTGAGTGGCGATTTCAATGGAAAACCTTAAGCCACTGGGAATGATTTCTCTTTACATGTATCTAGGTCAGGGGCCGTCATATTGTTCATAATTTCAACTGCTTAATCTTACGATTCAGTCTTTGATATTACCTTCTTATTCATGTAATGAAGTTATAAAAATGGAAGAAGTAAACGTCAGGAAATTTTTTTCCCTCAATTCCAAAGACGAGCTATAAATTATAATAGATTCTAACAGTATTTTAAGTTCTAAAATTAAAGTGCTATAAAAACTATTAAATTATGAAACTATTAAATTAAATTATTATATTAAGTAATATAAAAACTACTAAATTAAAATTAAAATTATTCAATTATTATCTATCATTTCTAAAAGGGTAATTTTGAAATGCGATTTTATTTGTTATGGACTCTGTTACACACTGTATTGTGTTGGTAAAGCATAGAAAATGGTATTAAACCAGAAATTTAAATTTATAGTTTTCCTTACCTGTGAATAGTTATTTTCATTTCCATGAAGTTTTTCTTGTTCTTCTATGTCTAGTTCTCCTGACAAATCTGCATGTTTAGTTAAAATTACTTAGAATATGTAGACAAAAAAACGTTTATTTAAAACACAGATTTAAAACATTGTACCAAATGACAGCTTAAGTCAAAATTTATCTTCAGATGAATATTTACTTGTTTAAGAAATACTTCCAATGATCAAAAACTTCAGCAAACCATTTGGGAAACACCAGATGTCACCAGGATACAGGCACACAAACACCTCAAAGATTCATTCATGAATTCACGCAAGCATCAGTGAAAAAAACAATCAGAAACCAAACAGAATTTCAAAATACAGGGCAGACATATAAAGTCACAGTATATTCTCTTCTCTACTTCATCACAGTACCTTTTAACAACATGCCAAGCTTCAACTACATTATTATTCTTAGTTTACAAATTCCTCTTCCTTTTTATGCTTTTATCAATTCCTTCATCTGAAATGCTTCCCTGGGCTCTTCTGACAATTTACTTTTCATCTTTTAAGACTCAACCTGCTTTGTGGAGTTGCCCCTGATTACAGCTTTCTTTCCCCAGATAAATAGGTCTCTCTTCCCTTGTAGCTACCTTAGTACTTTATAGATTTTTCTAGTGTATCTTTATAGACTTCTCCAGTGATAGATATACATCTAAACTGTGAATTATTTCTTCACATGTCTATCCTCTTGGCTTCTAGACTGCAGAGGACAAGCTGTTAAAAATCACCTTAGGATAAATAGTCTTTATTTTTTTCAATAATTACTTGTCTACCTAGATTTCACAAAGAGTCCCAGAGTTCTAAATATGATCCTGCTATCCACTCTCAGATGTATGCGAAATACTAGCCTAAACAAACTTGCTTCCTCCAAACTCTCTTTGTTATTTATTATACTCTTATGGTCACAGGGAGAATGCAGACACCTTGCCAAGAGGTACTGTTTGGCTGTAGGTTGCATAAAAGGAGTCAGCACAGGCAGGTTTTGCCACAAAATCGAATCCGGATCCGTCAGAATGATGGTAAGACTGTGCCCAGGTGGCGCATGGCTGAGTGCCCTGGGCTTCTGCATTACCTTGTTTGCTTTCTCTGCTTTCTGGCAGCGGAGACCGGCCCGGGTGATGGGGCATGGAATTCCCTACCAGAAACATCGCTGTGTTTTTCATCTTTTCTTTATCTGTTGCGGTCTTCTGTCCGAGTTCTGTGGGTGCTGACTGACTTTTGGTCACCAGTTGGAACACCAACGGACGCTGATCATCAACTTTCAAATGCCTGGCTCTTTGACAAGTCTCACTATTGAGGCTCAAAGTAGTCGACCAGTCTGAAAAATGTGAAAACAAACTCTTCATTTATCAGGATCTGAGTAAGAACACAACTCTGACTACCTCGTGCAAAGTCTTTCTTCAGAGAATCAGTTCCACATCCTTCTTCCCCTCAAACTCACTACACTTCAGAGGTAACTCTATCTTACATGTCACTGTCATTCATGAAGAGATGGTAACTAGCATGTCTCATTTCTTCTACTTTTCAATTTTCTAGCATTACTTTGATTCACTCAATCTTTATTATATACTCTGTATTTCATAAGAACTTTATTACTATTTTCCATCAACATACAAATGTTTTAGTAACAAAATTTATCTCTAATTTATTTTACATTTAATTTTGCATGATGATATTGTGTGTTCTAGAGACCAAGGTTTTAGAAACACTTTCAATGAATGGTACTACTTTAATTAACGGTAGAAACCTAGACAACATATTAAAAAGCAAAGACATCACTTTGCTCACAAAGGTCCGTACAGTCAAAGGTCTGGTTTTTTTTCAGTAGTCACGTGTGAGAGTTGGACCATAAAGAAGACTGAGTGCTGACGAATTGATGCTTTCAAATTGTGGTGCTGGAGAGACTCTTTAGAGAACCCTGGACGGCAAAGACATCAAACCAGTCAATCCTAAGGGAGATCAATCCTGAATATTCATTGGAAGGACTGATGCTGAAGCTAAAGCTTCAATACTTTGCGCACCTGATGCGAACAGCTGGCTCACTAGAAATGCACCTGATCCTGGGAAAGACTGAAGGCAGGATGAGAAGAGAAGGGCAAGAAGAAAAGGGGGAGGCAGAGGATGAGATGGTTGGACAGCATCGCTGATCCAATGGACATGAACTTGGGCGAACTCCGGGAGATGGTGAGGAACAGAGAGGCCTGGCTGCAGTCCATGGGGTCACAAAGAGTCGGGCACGACTTAGGAACTGAACACCACCACCATCAACAACTACTTTAATTTCAATGAGACGGTCTTTCCTCAATGTACATATATCTTCAGAACTCATTTTTAAAGCCTTGGAGAAACATCATACCCTGGAGAAGGAAATGGCAACCCACTCCAGTACGCTTGCCTCTTGCCTGGAAAATCTCTTGGACAGAGGATCCTGGCAGGCTACAGTCCATGAGGTCACAGTGGTTGAACACGACTTAGTGACTAAACAAAAACATCATACACTTATATAAGAAATGAGAGCCTCGTGTGTGACTAATTGTTTCCATGTGAAAATAGGTAAGTCTAGGACAACACTGGATCCAAAGAGCACAGAGGACCATGAGACAGGAATGAATACACCTCAAAAAACTAAAACTGTTAGATCTGAATTTCTTGAGAGAAGTCAGAGAAACAAGGAAGAAATGTAAAAGTGAAACTTAAAACCCTGTGTCATCACAAGGGCCCCTTTATCAATTTATATCCAGCCACTTCAATGCTTTAAAACAGTGGTTCTCAAGTGTCCCCTCAGAATCGCTGAAGTCCAGAGACCCAACGGGTCAGGGGGTCCAAGAGGTCAGAACTCTTTTCACAACAACACTAAACGTTACCTCCATTCTCATGCTGTTCTGCGGGCAGAGTGGCATTCTTCAGAGACACGATATGTGATATCATAAACTAAGGACTAATGGAATTAGCAACTATGATGGTGTGTGCTTGTATTTTAAGTTTTTCTACTTTCCAATACAGTGAACAACAATGAACAAAGTTCCTTGGAATTCTCAATAATTTTTAGATGTATAAAAGGATCCTAAAGCCAAAAACTTTCAGAATCACTGTTCTGAAAGATTATGTCTGTCGAATCTAAGGTATGATTATTTCTCCTACTTCTAATAATCAAAGACAACACAAACACACACACACACAGTCTGCTAATCAAAACATCTCATTGGCCTACATTCATCTGTGTAAGAACACTAAAATGAAATAAGTATAAGCTGAAATACAACTGACATTTTAGCAAGTGAAGCTTTACTCTAGGGAAAGGTCAGAGTTCAGATACACATTTTTGGACACTGGAAAAATCTTAGGGTCTAATAATTAATCTCTGAGAATTGCTGAGAGTATAGAGATTCCAAACAGAATTTAATGCATAACGAAACATATACAGAAACATCTTGAGTTCAAGCTTACATTTTAAACATTTCTTGTTCATATGCTTGTGAATATCTTTTCTTCTAAAACATGGATACCAATAATAACATTTGCCCTATGTTTGTCCAATTCTTCAGTTAAATTTGCAAAAAGAAGTTAGGAGTACAAAGAGCTAGCATCTCAAACATTTCAGTGTCCCTCTTTCCTGAAGGGACTTTGGTAAAGCATCAGCTTGCAATGCAGGAACCAGAGTTAAGTGTGTATTGCAAAATATACCTGAATTAGATGTTCGTGCATCCTTCATTCTGACTGCTTTATTAGGAACTGAATCTTTCACTCCGACGTCCTGCTGAATGGGTTTGGAAACAAGTTGACTAATAAACAATGTACATATGATACAATGCACAGTTCATAATTCAAGATAAAAGCATAAACGTTTTTACCTTCACATTAGGATATTTCTCAGGAGACTCTAAAAGGCAAAAGGGACATAGAGGTAATTACATGTAGATATGAAAGCCAGCTGTACATTCATGCAGACTTAGTGCCGAGCAGAATCCTCATGCTCTGCCTTGGCACTGAATACGGTCAGTTTAGAGGCTTGTTTTTAGGGGGATCTTAGGACACTGTAAGACAGACATATGAATCCACCAAAGACAGTGAAGAAAAAAATAGTAATACAGGTTCACCAAAATGTGCAGTTAGGATTTCAAAAGTAACATTACGTTTTCAATAGCTTTATAAAACAATGTGCACACAGACCAATGTGAACATGCTGACTGATGAGGAGAAAATGGATCTTAATCAGGAGGAAGTCATGAACCCAAGAAGATAAACGTGAAAGCTGATGGTAAAATGCAACAGCATATCTTGAATGAAACATGGAAGTTATCATTTACACCATTATATGATAAGTATTTATCGTGTTCTTCAATCTGTCCATTCATTTAAGAAGTGCACAGTTGGGATGACACTTCACCAGAATGTACAATTTATTTCTCATCAAAGACAGGGTAATGGACTGATTAGCCTGGATATACACTTGTGGAAAAATGGCTCATAAAAATATTCGTGTTTTTTTCCATATCCATGTGGGCTACTGGCATGCCTACATGTCTTGGCTCTTCTAGTTTAGCCATCTTAAAGTTTCTTGATCCACTCATGCAAGAAAGTATACAAGACACATCTAGGAAATAATGTATAATCAATTCTCAATATTCAAATACAATTATCAAAAAGGAAATAATACACTGAATTGCCACAGAATTATTAGAAATTTAAAATCTTGCATGTTTCAAAATCAGTGCAGTATTTATTAAAAGTATTTTTAGCATTTAAGGAATGAACCCTATTAATCTGTTTGGCTTCAAAATTTAGTTTGGTTTGGTACATCATGGTAATGCTTCAAAGGATTTCTATGAAACAACTTTCAAAAAATCAGCTATCATTTTAAAAAAAAGAAGCCAATGCCTCCATTTTCAAATTAATCTAATTTGAATAACAAATACCGGTACAACATATATCTTTGATGCCTAAGAGTTACTCGAGGGGCTGCCAATTCCCCCACTTCTAGCACCCCCTGCCACCTCCAGGATTCTCTGGAGCAATAATGATCTCATCTCTTTTCAGGGTAAATACACTGAGGTCATCTAGAAGGAGCGCTCTCAAGGGTCCTCATCAACTCCAAACTCACCTCCCTAAGGCCGTGCTTACCTCCCTTTGTCCTTTCACTAGACTCTCTCCTCTCTAACTGGTAATCTCCGGATCTGTGGACTTAAATCTTCCCCCTTGACATCCTTTCTATGGACCATCCCTACCATGTCTTTCTCCTTCTTTGCTTAGCAATGCACAGATAACTGCTACTTCAACTCTTTGCTTCCCTCTGGCTATAAACACGCTCAGAAGGAAACACAAAATAACGCTTTTCCTTGACCCTGTTATGTCCTGCACTATCCAATGCTCTTCTTCCAGATTTCTCTAAAGGCAAGGCTACACCCTTGCTACTTGGAGAGCTTGTTAGAAACAAAGACTCTCAGATCTCCTGCTCAGCATGTGCACTTCACACATGCTCCCCAAGTGACTAACTAAAACTTGAGAAACTCTGGTCTACACAGAGTCTGCTTCTACATGACTTCAACTTAATTCATGTTCCTGAAATCTCAGCCTCTGTTTCCTCATGCCAACACATCCCCTGAAACTGAAATGGCATTAGAAGCTGGAAAACTTCCAGTGGACTCTCTATGAGGCTGTGGGTTCCTTGGTCTCCCCATCACGCCCCCTGCTCTCTCCTCTTTCCAGCTCTCTTGTTTTGTCCCATGTGATACCATCCTAGACGGCAGCAGCATTTCACATGACATCAATTTGCACACGTTTACAGCTGAGCTCCTATGCCCGCACTCCACAGAACATAAAACACAGCTCTGCATGCCTGGAGACGTCAGTTCTGAATGTCTTCCTAATAACGAGTACAACAGGAAGAGGGGGGAGAACTTTGCAGTTCTTTCGTGGCAAGTTTTGGTGTCGGACGCTCACTTCAAATCCATCGTCCATGTCAAATACTCTCCCTTTATCTCAGGACCTTCATTACTTATTCCACCTTCCCCCACAGACCCGTGCTTCCTTTTGCTCATTTCCTCCCGGTACCCTCTGCCTCTCTCATCTTTCATTCCCTCTGGCCTCTTATTTCTTGACCTTCCTTGGGGCGTAGAGTTATCTTGAAATAGAACTAATAATTTCCTTTTGGTTATGTGTCACATGGGATCTTAGTTCCCTGACCAGGGAATCAAACTGCACCGCCTGAATTGGAGAGTCTTAACTGGACAAAGTCTTAAAACACTGGACCGTGAAGTAAGTCTAAGAACTAATAATTTAGTTTCTTAAACTGGATTCTCAGTGTAATCTGTGGTAGACACCTGATAAGATGCACGATTGCCCTCCTTTTCTCGTCTTTTTTCTCACTACCCATCTGACAGGTGATTTTCTTTGCCTATTAGAGTGTATCAGCATTCCCGTTTTCCATCAACATTCTGTCAAATGATTTTTCTGTAAAATACAGTTCTTACCTTCTATTTGTCCATTTAATGTCTTTTTTCCTCTTTGACCAGCAGTTCCAGGTAAATGACCCACATACTTCTGTGGAAGGCTCTCAGAGACACTCTGCTAGAATGAATGATAACAATGGGTTGCATGAAGAGTTCCTAATCCCTTTTGAAGAAAGCACCCTACTTTTAACCCGGTTAAGACAGATTTTGCCAAGACCCCACAGTTGCTATGTGACAGAACCAGGATGCCGAATTCAAACACAGTTCTGCATCACCAAGCAGTGGTTGCCACATCTAAGAGATCAGCCCCTTCTTATCTCCTTCCATAGCTGCCACCTTCAAACAGGGCACCGTTACTTTATCTTACTTCAAGTACGGCTGCCATAAAGATACTCTGCACGTGCTATGTAAGCTATCCAAAATGCTTTGCACTTACTGAAACATCACTAAAGCTAACTGCTGTTATTATAACCCCACATATTTATCACTATTTCCCATGCTTTTCTTCTCTTGAAATGTTCCCTGCAGATCAACTTGTCAATCCAAATGTAGTAATACCTTCAAGCTTCAAGCACTATCTTGTGGTAAAAAATCACAGTTGAAATGAAACTCAAAACTACAATGAGATACCACCTCACACCAGTCAGAATGGCCATCATCCAAAAGTCTGCTGTTGCTGCTGTTGCTTAGTCGCTTCAGTCGTGTCCGACTCTGTGCCACCCTACGGACTGAAGCCTGCCAGGCTCCCCTGTCCATTGGATTCCCCAGGCAAGAATACTGGGGTGGGTTGCCACGCCTTCCTTCCCAACTCAGGGATCAAACCCAGGTCTCCCACTGCAGGCCGATTCTTCACCACTCAGCCACAACGAGATACCACCTCACACCAGTCAGAATGGCCATCATCAAAAAGTCTACAAACAATGAATGGTGGAGAGGCTGTGGAGGCTGCTGGTGGGAAGGTAAATTGATACAACCACTATGGAAGATGCTAGGCAGATTCCTTCAGAAACTGGAATAAAACCACCATATGACCCAGCAATCCCACTGCCAGGAGTATACCCTGAGGCAACCAAAGTGGAAAAGACACATGCACTCTGATTTTCATTGCAGTGCTATTTATGATAGCTAGAACATGGAAGCAACTTAGATGGCCATTGACAGATGAATGGATGAAGATGTGGTGGTACATATATACAAAGGAACATTACTCAGCTGTAAAAAGGAATGCATTTGAGTCAGTTCTAACGAGGTGGATGAACCTAGAGCCTATTATACATAGTGAGGTAAGTCAGAAAGAGAAATATAAATATCATATACTAATGCATATGTATGGAATCTAGAAAGATAGTACTGATGAATTTATTTGCAGGACAGCAATGGAGAAACAGACATAGAGAAAAGACTTATAGGCACGGGGGAAGGGAAGAGGGGAGAGGGTGAGATGGATGGAGAGAATAACATGGAAATTTACAATTCAATCTGTAAAATAGATAGCCAATGGGAATCTGCTCTATCACTCAGGGAACTCAAGAGGGGCTCTGCAACAATCAAGAAGGGTGGGATGGAGAGGGAGATGGAGGGGGGTTTGGGAGGGAGTGGACGTGGGTGTACCTATGGCTGATTCTTGTTGGTGTCTGACAGAAAACAACAAAATTCTGGGAAGCGATTATTCTTCAGTTAAGAATAAATGAATTTTTTACAACCCTATTTGAACATTCACATGGTTGACTGTTTCTTTCCCTATAAACAGCACACTGACGATTCTAGTATCCTATCTATGTCTTCTGGAATGGCACGGAAAGACGAAAGGAATGATCTAGACATAAAAAAAAAAAGGAGTAAAACGATGATTATCCAAGTTGAAGGTTTAAAAGTTTTCAAATACATTTATGATGATCAAGCAGGACTCAATAATCATATCAGGAAAAAAAGAACAAACTAAAAAAAATCAAGTAACCAAAATGACTAACTTTCTGATATGGAAGAATTTACATGTTAGTTTCACATGTATAACAAAGAATTGACATGGTAATTTAACATCTATAAACACTGAAATTAATAAAGTTCCTTTAAAATAAAATGGGGGGCGGTCCTAAGATGGCAGAAGAATAGGACGGGGAGACCACTTTCTCCTCACAAATTCATCGAAAGATCATTTGAATGCTGACAAAACTCCAGAAAACAACTTCTGAATGCTGGCAGAGACCATCAGGCACCCAGAAAGTCAGTCCATTGCCTTCGAAAGGAGGTAGGACAAAATATAAAAGATAAAAAGAGAGACAAAAGAGGTAGGGATGGGGATCCATCCCAGGAAGGGAGTCTTAAAAGAAGAGAGGATTCCAAACACCAGGAAACACTCTCACCGGCGGGTCTGTGGGGAGATTTGGAATGTCAGAGGGCCATGTAACAAGGAGGAAAAATAAATAAATAAATAAATAAAACCCACAGATTATGTGCCTAACGGCAACTCCCAGTGCTCGCATCCGCCACCAGCAAGGGGGGGCTGCATTGCTTATGTTGAGGACCAGGCCTGAATGCCCTGAGGGCAATCTGAGGGAACTAACATGAGATAGCAACCTAAACTGTAGGACAGCCAGAGAGAGAGGGGGACAAAAGAGAGAGAGAGAACTATCCCGCAAAAAGCCCTAAACTAAGGCACTGCCAGGCCCGCCCACAGAACAAAGGACTGAGTGAATACCAGAGGAGAGCTAGCCCACTGCAGACCACCTCATGCCCCGCCGGAGGCAGGGAGGCAGGAGGCGGGCAGCCAGAGCTGGAAAGGGGCAAACTCGGCCCCAGAGAGGGATCCTCTACCAAACTGCAAGCACGCACCCCGTCACTAACCAAAACTTCTTGGGACTCTGGATGGTTGACATCCACTGGGAGGGTCGCAGCTAGAGATCAGCTCCCCAGAAGAGACACATGGCACACCAGAGATGGCCACGCCCATTGTAACCCAGGAAACCCAGTGGCTGGGACCCAGGAGGTGATAAGACGCACCCCCCACCTGGGGAGATGACGCTCGCCAAGCACCTAGTGACCTGTGCTGCTCAGACCTGGGAGGGGCACAAAACACAGGCCTAACCCGAGTCTGCACCCTTGTGGGGTACACGAGAACCTGAACCTGAGCGGCTTAGACCTGGGAAGTGCACACAATCCAGGGCCCGCCTCAGACAATTTCCTGGCAGAGCGACCTAGAGCCTGAGAAGTGTACACTGGGAAAGTGCACATGCCATGAGCGGGGGCAAACCCAGTGTGGCCGAGACACTGTGGGCACTCCCCACACACGCCGGTGATATTTGTTTGCAGTGTTCCTCCATCCCCACAGCAGGACTGAACAGGTGAGCTTAAGTAAGTGACCACCTTCGCCCCTTGTGTCTGGACAGAAATTAGACACTTGAAGAGACCAGCAAACAGAAGAAGCTAAAACAAACAGAGGGAACCACTTTGGAGATGACAGGTGCAACAGATTAAAACCCTGAAGTTAGCAGTGACTATGTTGGAAGGGGCCAATAGATCTTGAGAGGTATAAGCTGGATCAAGGAACTATCTGAAACTGAATTGACCCCACAATGCCTGCAACAGCTACAGAGAAATTCCTAGATCTATTTGTACTATTATCATGTTTAAATATTTTTTTTATTTTTAAGTCCTCTATCACTCCTTTAATTTTCATTTTTACAACCCACTATTACCTTGCAAAAAAAAAAAAAGACCCTATTTGAAAAGCAAACTTCATATATATAGTTTATAATTTTTTGTGACTTTGTTTTCTTTTCTTAATATTGTGTTTTTGAGAGTCTAACCTCTACTCTAGATTTTTAATCTTTGCTTTTTGGCATTTGTTATCAATTTTGTACCTTTAAGAACTCAATCTGCAGTACCCATTTTAACTTGGGAGTGTGATTATTGGCTTGATTGCTCTCTCCCCCTTTTGAATCTCCTTATCTCCACAAAGTCACCTCTATCTCCGCCCTCTCCTTTCTCTTCTCTACACAACGCTGTGAATCTCTTTGTGTGTTCCGGGCTGTGAAGAACACATAGGGAACTGATTACTGGCTGGATCTGTCTGTCTCCTTTTGATTCCCCCTTTTATCCTCCTGGCCACCTCTGTCTCCTTCCTCCCTCTTCTCTTCTCTGTGCAACTCCATGAACCTCTCTGAGGGGTCCAGACTGTGGAGAGCACATAGGGAAGTGATTACTGGCTAGCTTGCTCTCTCCCCTTTTGATTCCCCCTCTTCTCCTCCTGGTCACCTCTATATCCCTCCTCCCTCTTCTCTTCTCCAAGTAACTCTGTGAACCTCTCTGGGGATCCCTCAGTGTGGAGAAACTTTTCATCATTAACCTAGACATTTTATCATCAGTGCTGTATAGATGGAGAACTTTGGAGGCTACTGTAAGAATAAGACTGAAAACCAGAGGCAGGAGGCGTAAGTCCAAAACCTGAGAACACCAGAGAACCCCTGACTCCTGGGAACATTAATCCAAAAGCCTCATCCAAAACCCTCCATACCTACACTGAAACCAAGCACCACCCAAAAGCCAACAAGTTCCAGAGCAAAGCATACCACGCAACTTCTCCAGCAACGCAGGAACATATCCCTGAGCTTCAATATACAGGATGTCCAAAGGCACACCAATCCAATAGACATCTCAAAACTCACTACTGGACACTTCATTGCACTTCAGAGAGAGGAGATCCAGCTCCCCCTATCAGAACACCAACGCAAGCTTCCCGAACCAGGAAACCTTGACAAGCCACCTGTCCAACCCCACCCACAGTGAGGAACCCCCACAATAAAGAGAAACCACAAACTGCCAGAATACAGAAAGGCCACCCCAAACACAGCAATCTGAACAAGATGAAAAGGCAGAGAAATGCTGAGCAGGTAAAGGAACAGAATAAATGCCCACCAAACCAAACAAAAGAGGAGGAGATAGGGAAGTACCTGAAAAAGAATTCCAAAGAATGATAGTGAAAATGATTCAAAATCTTGAAAACAAAACGGAGTTACAGATAAATAGCCTGGAGACAAGGATTGAGAAGATGCAAGAAATGTTTAACAAGAACCTAGAAGAAATACAAAAGAGTCAATCAATAATGAATAATGCAATAAA